GATGTCCATTCAGAATTTCAATTGATATCTCAGCCGCGTTGCGCGCATCGTATGGATCCCGCTCGTACTGGGAACATACTACGGAACCTATTCTGTGCCTCAAGTCTGGAGCCCCGTGGGGTAAAGAATTAGACTCGTGATGGCCCCTAAGGCCTATTTTCGACTCACCAACGGTATTTGATTAAATATAGGGTCTGCCAAGCATTGCAACAGGAAACAAAAATAGATTTCTTTCATTTCATTCCAATAGAAGCTAGCGCTGTGGCCACAGAGATCCTGCGCTGTTTAACACACTTGCTTCAGTCAAGTTCCACGTAAACCTCGTCCAAAGAAAGTGGCCGCCATGAGAGATCAGATATAGCCAATGGAGGATCGACAGGGATACCATGGTGTTGCCTAAATTTCTCGGGACCGCCTCCCATGCCACGCAGTTGCAAATATGCTCCTCCGCACCCGTCGTGCGTGCATTCGCACTCGGACTTGACTCACCTATGATCCATCTCAAATGCATCCGTTCAATTTCTAGAAAAATTCGAAGCGAACCCCCTATGATATGATTTTAATTTTTCAAGCAACGCATGCGCTAAAAATAAGTTTATGACCCATGATCATGGGATCCGTCCATCAGGCTTGGCGCTCACTACTTGCGTAACTGTGGCAAATCGCTTAAAGCGATCAAGCCGCGGCCCGCTGTGGACCGTTCCTTTATTCAGACGAATTAGATTTGTGAAGGAGGCAGCAAGCTTTGAATATTGTGTATTGGTCATGATCAGACTTTGTGGGTATTTGGAAGATAGAAGAGGTGGAGCGCTGCGCCAACGATATCAATATTTCTACAAGAAACCTAGGTACACTCTGCGCCACGACGTTGGGAGTCCGTAACATAATGTTTAGGCGAGATTTCCAGATACTTCGGGTATTATACATGCAGCGATGAAGAGGTATAAAAGTCGACAAAACCTCGTTTACCCAACTCGTTGTTAGTATAAGATGTTGCATTTAGCGGACTGAAAATGAGCAGGATCGTTTCGACCGAGGACATCCGAATACAGCTGTCGATT